GATTTGGCCACTGGCTAGCGGACGAGCGCTGGAGCGTGTTGGGTGAGACGGCAGGCTACAGGAAGAGAGGAACTTGAGCAGAAGAACTTTGGAACGGACACGTTGGGACCAGATCAGGAGTTCTGGTACTGACACGTTGGGACCGGATCTGGAGTTCTGGTACTGAGAAAAGATGAATGAACAACTTGAGGTGAGTTTGGGAGTCAGAGACACTAATCGGAGGCTGGCGTCCAGATAATAGCGGGCGGGGGTCTGAACATATGCAGCTTCCTTGTGTTAGACATGATGAGGAACTGTCAAATTTTATGTGTCTTTTGATTTAATTATTTTTTTATTCAAACAAGTACAGCAACGGTGTAGCTATGCTCTTCTATTTCTTAGTTGAATTAGCAGACTCCATGCTTCCAGGGCACACTGCTGCCCTCTGCTGGTTCTTTCAGGTTACAGTCATAGTCCAAACACCTAATGTGGGGCTCTTATGTCCCTAAACAGCTACTGTATTTTAAGATGGTGGATGACCATGGAGCCTCGACCACAGTTTATGTAAATAAAAATGTATAATTTCAAGTTGAGAGGAATATTTAGAATTGATTTTGGTGAGAAAAACTAGCGAAAAAGGACAAGTTTGTGAACTGGAAACACAGGATTTGATAGCAAACAGGTAAAAATAACACACACTGGGCCTTTAAGCAGCAAGCCCTCTGTAACCCCCACCTGCATTTCTAATGGGGTCCAATGGAGATAAACCATCAACACTGCTCAACAGTCCCGTCCTGAAGGGGTCACCCAATAGGACAGCGGGAGGGTTAAATGTTTCACTAAGGCCAGAGTCCAGAACTCGTGGCTCCGCAGCTGGTACATAGGTGTGTGTACATTAGGAATTATGGCAGAAAAGGTGCCAACAATTTGAAATGTTGTTTTAATGGTTGTTTGACAGTGTCTGTTGTGTCTGGTGTTAGATGGACCTTTAAATAGCTTATTTTCAAAATGTAGCTGGAACAGCAAAAACAATCATCTCATACCCCACATTTACGAGCTGTTACATGCAAATACAAAAAGAACATAATGTGAGAAATGGCAACTGGTGGTAAAAGTTTTCAGTCAGTAGACTCCTCCCCCTGGTGGAACACCATGCTGCCCAACAAAACGTCTAGACTCATCAATTAAAGTTTGCCCATTCTGTTAACGAGAGTTATTTCAATTAGAGTTGGTTAAATCTATCCATCAAACAGCAATCTACAGCAGAAGGGGTGTTAAATGATCAAAAAACCTATTTAAATTGTTTGCTCTGTCTGTAAAAAGGGTTAGCCCAGTGCTATAGGAACGCAGTAAAACCTCATTTTCAGGTTAAACAAGGTGACCGCAGGGATTTATTAGTGTTCACCAGAAAGCAGAAGTCTCTGCACACATCTCAGTAATTTACAGCACTCTTCAACAGGAGGGATGCAACTGTCCTGCTCATTAGCTGCAGCAGAATTCCCTCTGGTATTTTATTTACCTCCACCCACCAACTCTCCTCTTTGTAATGCAGCAGGTAGCTGATGGCACCTCTGTCTCAGCAGCTCGGCGGACCACCAGGGGACACGTTTTCCTCCTCGCAGACGCTTGTCATCTATTATTACTGGAGGTGTCCTTGAGAGTGATTCTGGCAGACGGCTTGGGCCCACTGTCTGGGGGCCCAGAATAAGCAACACACGGCTGGGCAAACAAGGGTGATGACAATCATTACTTCCCAAGATATAAGAGGTAGAAAATAAAAATAAATAAACGGCCGTGTCGAGTTTCAAACCACTAAGGTAGCTTCATGGTAGAGGCCCACCCAGAATATTGTGTTTTTAGTTAAGTTGAGGAAAAAGTGTTTAAAGTTCAGACACAGCAGGGCTTCCTAAATGTTCCAGTCCATGTACGACTCACAGCTCAAAGGTTTCAGGTGTAGTGTGTTAGGGGATATGCTCTGAGCTTATTAGCCTCGTAACACCTTCTAACTGCTGTCTATAAAATATTCACAGGCGTTTACAATACCTGAGTGGGTTAAATGGTGAGGATGAAAGTGCTGGGGCACATGGATAAACATCTTTTTTGTTCTTGATTAAATCAAGCTGAAACAAAACAATAAACACAAAAATTATTTATTTTAAATTTTATGATGAAGTGTGTGTATGCGTGCGTTTGTGTCTGTGTGCGCGTGTCTATGCATGTGCACGTGTGTGTTTGTGTGTATGAGTGAGTGCATTTGCGCGCGTGTGTGCATGTGAGTGCGTACGTGTGTGTGTGTGTGTGTGTGTGTGTGTGTGTGCCAGCGTCTGTGTGCGTACGTACGTTTGTGCTTGTGTGCGTGTGTGTGCCAGTGTCTATGTGTGTACGTGCATGCATGCATGCTTGTGTGTGTGTGTGCATGTGTATGCATGTGCACGTGTGTGTTTGTGTGTATGAGTGCATTTTTGCGCATGTGAGTGCGTACGTGTGCGTGTGTGTGTGTGCTTGTGTGCGTGTGCCAGTGCCTATGTGTGTAAGTGCATGCATGCATGCTTGTGTGTGTGTGTGTGTGCCAGCATTTGTGTGCATACGTGCGTGCATGCGTACGTGAAGAGTGAGTGCGTGAATGTGTGTGTGCGTGCATGCGGGTGCATGCTTGTGTGTGTGTGCATGTTTGTGCGTGAGACAGAGTGCGTGTGTGTGGGTGCGTGGGTGTGGGCGCATGCTTAGGTGTGTGTACCAGCAACTGTGTGCGTGAGTGCTTGTGTGCTTGTGTGCGTGAGTGCTTGTGTGTGTGTGTGTGTGTGTGTGTGTGTGTGTGTGTGTGTGTGTGTGTGTGTGTGTGTGTGTGTGTGTGTGTGTGTGTGTGTGTGTGTGTGTGTGTTAACTATCTGACAGTTGCCACTCTTGGGCTGCAGGGCAGGCTATGGGGAATAATAAACGCTTGTGAATGGAGCTCGGATCAAACCAAATTAGAGGGCTAAAGACTATAACCAAGCAGGACTGTTAGATTAAAAAGTCAAAGAAGAATCACATAATTTACATGAGATTAATAATCTCAGATGGCTTTTTCCTGGATATATTCATACTACTGAAGAGCAAAGGTCTACACTTGGCTACACATGTGAGGGTTGACAAATATAGCTGTTAAGAATGGCATAAAGGAAAAACATGGATGCAAGAACTGTTCTGTTTTTACCTTAATGACTGGTGCAGATGAAGTGTTGGCACAAAGGCTTAATGCTGTCCACAGAGAACTCATACGCTGTATAAACATCTTTATCATAATTAGCCTTGGTAAACAAACTGTTTCAAACTTCATAATTACTTTCTCCAACTGAGCAAATGATTATTAAATTGGTAACTTGGCTGCCGCCTTTCATGATGACGCTGTAAACGAAGACAGTCTTGCATTGAGAAATGATGAATTTTCAGCATTTTAATCAACTCTTAAATAAAAATATAAAAGGTATGATCACATTTAATTTAGAAATATGTCTTCTGATTTGTTTGCACTTGAAGTTTGTGTTCTGTATGGCTTTTAAAAGCAAATTCACTGAGAAAACTTTGTTTTACATGCAGGTAGAACATGAAAATAGTCTACCCCTACGGAAAATAGACACGGAGGCCCTCGGGTCAGAAAAAGCCAGTTAGATCTACTGTATGTGACTTTCATGGACTCTCCCATCTTTGCTTGTGGGAAAGACTGTTGTTCATTTAGCATCCAGGAGAGAGCAGAGCACGTCTTGGCTAGTAGAAGCTAACTGCTGGCATTAGCATTCATTCATGCTTTTGTTAGTTGTGGAGATAAAACATCAACGTAGCAGAACAAACAGAGCCAGTGGTAGATTCGCATTGCTGTTAGCCAATCAGAGGCGAGGTGTCCGAATATCAGCTTCTGCTTCCTGAAACAGGAGCGCCGGTGCTTTTGTTTCCCACAGAGAATAACTCATTCATACTAGAGACCACAGCATTAACCATTTCTACCTGATTTTGCTGCTCGGTATATTTAAAACTGATCACGTTACAGACAAGTTTGTGTTCTTATCTTGAACTGGATTGATTCCAAGATTAAATCAGATGTAGATGTAAGAAGTTCCTTCTGAATTTTAAATACAATTATCCCAGAGGGTCATGTGATGTTTTTGCTAACAGTGAAACAAGCATAACGATAGCTACCAGGAGACGCCTTTTGCGTTCAAACACCATAAAGCGAGCTATGGGTGAACTGAGCTCAGTTGCAATCACATGGGCTTCAGCCGGCAGCCTTCCACTGCACACCAACTAAATTCTACACCTGAACCCCCCCTAGCAAAGAGCACACATAATGAGTCCTGCTCATCAGTGATGCACTGACCTGGGATGGGCATGCACACAAACTCAAAGAGGCACAAAGGCACACACACCCCCGCTACCCGCCTGACTGCCTGTGGCGTGCACGCCTGGTCACCTCGCTCAGGGATCAAAGGCAGCATGTCGTTCTAATCAGCCCTCACAGTGGGCAACCCCATTAATTCAGTTCTATTTCATCAGTGGCGAGCAGACCACCAGTAAGGTCTGGGCATTCCCGGGGTCCAGGAGTAATCCTCTATCTCTTAATGACCAGAGTCTAACACCTTTTGGATTGGATCGCAGACAAAATTTCATTTTTATGGCAGAAGAAACAAAAGAGACGCGGCGTATTTGCAGGACGTGGCGAGGAAGTCTAACAGAATAATGACACCATGTATCAAGTAACTCCAGACGATCAACCCCCCGCTAAACCAGGCCAACGTCGCATGTAGACGTCTGTAGCTGGGAATCAAGCCCGGAAATTAAATTGAAGAGGAAGTGAAGAATGAATCTATTGTTTTATAATTCCAATAACGCTAGCAAAATTATTCAAATGAAAACGATTCAGAAAACCTTCCACGGGAAAACGAAGACGCTGTCACGTTTTATTGAGCCTTTGGTGTACCGTGGCTCGACTGTCTCATAATACAATGTTTATTAGGATATAAGATAATGAGCTTTTCATATCTTACCGTACCTTTGGTCTCTGGTGGATGGGGATGCTCATCACAGATAAATTAGACCTTTGGAGTACTGCCGTTTACACCTGTGGAGACAATAAGAGTCTGCTTTAAAGAACAGGCAGACGTGTTTTATTTTATTTATGCCATCTGTTTCAAGAGATTTATTATTTATTTTGCCATTTTAGGTGAGGAGAACAGATGAACCACATAGAGGCGTACGCAGCAAAACCTATCGATAACTCTCCAGCCATCCTGAGAGGTTATTAGAGGGCAGAGATGGATAATATGACCAAACTGACCGCATACAGCTGGAAAAGCTCAGCAGGATTACAGATGAACCAGTGTTTTGGTCAAAAATAGAATCATTGGTGCGCCAAAGCCTGTGATGTTTACAGGATGACGACACAGAAGAGTGTTTGCAACTCAAAGAGATTCATTGTGGAGCAAAAACAAAGCAGGTTTTGGTCAAATCAGCATCATCTGACTCCTGGTGGCAGCCTTTGGAAGTCGCATCTCCTTTCTTATTTGTTCAAGAGCTTCTGTTTTGAAACCAGCCCTGATCTTATTTAATGAAAAGGAGACATTTATTACCAAGCTGGAACACAGTTCGACCACAGGAAACGAAATGACGTTCAGTAAAAGTACTATTTAAATAAAAAGAAACAGACCAACCTAGAAATGTCACTGATTTTGGTGCTTTTATTCAGAATCTTATTTTTTTAAAAATCTGTAAATGCATCTAAATTTTGTGGATTTTCTCACAATAAAAGAGCAGAAGTCTTTATGAGTGGACTTTACAAGCATACAAACAAAGACCCACCATCGAGATGCGCTTCACAGCAGCCATGCTGGACTATTTCAGCTGAATCTTGAATAGAAAATCTCTTGTTTGGCTCTTGCATGCATTTCGGTATTTTTTTTCTTCTAACCTAAAAGCGACAGACAGTTGTAAGTCTAATGAGCATGAGAGCACACTTTGGAAACTTCTTACTGATGGAGATAAGCCACAGAGAATTACACTAAAATATTCAGAACATGCAAATTTTCAATATAAATCAAATTTCTTCAATAAAGCCCAATTTGGGAACTTTTTTGTAACAGGGTACTTTGCTGTTAAGGAAGTGGAGAGACTCAAGATCAGCAGAAATGCTAAAACAGCTGCCAGTGGCTCATTGGGGCCACCATGGCAACCGAGGATAAACCAATATATCAGACCAATACGTCAGAACAATATTTAGCTATTTTGATTTATCAGCCTAGGTTGATAGACCTGTTTAGTAGAGCCCAGTTAAAAGCTGAGATATCCACAATACTGAATTTTACATTCATGAAAAAACTGTTTAATAAATGCTCTAAAAAAATGATTGTCAACTGTTATTTTGCTTGGTTCGCTGCCAAGTATGAAGCAGCTGGGATGAGAACCAGCTCCTCTAAATCCGAGACCATGATCTTGAGTCAGAAAAGGGTTCTCCTGGTCAGGGATGAGGCCTTGCCTCAAGTGGAGGAGTTTAAGTATCTCGAGGTCTTGTTCACAAATGAGGGAATGATAGAGCGTGAGATCGACAGGTGGATTTGGGCTGCGTCTGCAGTCAGTGCATTTACATGCAGCCAGTGACCCTTTTAAAACCAGAATATTCACAATAACCCGGTTCCGCAGGTCCTTGTAAACACCGCCAAAAACCCGGATATGCTCATAACCGGGTTTTTAAAAACCCGGTTACTACACCTGGGGTAACCCTTTTCTAACCCGAATGTTTGGTCGTGTAAACGCATACCGGGATATCCCCATCAAAGCGTGTGTTCTGTGCATGCTCTGTTCGCAAGGAATCTTGGTCTTTTGAGTAGTGAGACGTCTTGTATGCGCCAGAACACCGGAAGTAAACAACAAGTTGGGAGCAACATGGCGAGTCGCGGCACAGCACCACACTTTTGGAGTGACGAAGAAACTAAAGCACAAACAAATGCGGTCGCTATCTCTTCCGAACTGGGAAACATGTTGTTTTTCACGGATACCGGAACAAGAAGAACCGGAAATGAGGCATATTGCGTCTGGACTTAGTCCATACGTCCTGACGCTACCCCAACGTCCGCATTTAAATCGGGTTATGCAAGTTAGGGGTAACTCTTTCTATTTATGCTTGTAAACGGGTTATTCTGATCAACTCAGAAACCCGAATACCGACCTTAACCCGATCATAACCCGGATATTGGCTGCATGTAAACATAGTCAGTGATGCGGGCGTTGGACCCAGTCTGTTGTGTCGACAAGAGATTGATTTACTGGTCGATGTACATTCCTACCCTCACCTATGGTCACAAGCTTTGGGTAGTGACTGAAAGAACGAGATCGCCAATACAAGTGGCTGAAATTAGTTTTCTCCGCAGGGTGGCTGGGCTCTCCCTTAGAGATTGGGTGAGAGGCTCATTCATTCGGGAGGGGCTCAAAGTAAACCCGCTGCTCCTCCACATCCAAAGAAGCCTGTTGAGGTGGCTCTGCATCGTTAGGATGCTTCCTGGACGCCTCCCTATTGAGGTTTTATGGGCACGGCCAACCAGCAGCAGACCCAAAGGAAGACCCAGGAAACGCAGGAGGGACTATATCTCACCCGGCCAGGGAACGCCTTGGGAATTCCCCAGAGGAGCTGGCCCAAGTGGCTGAGGAGAGGGAAGTCTGGGCTTCTCGAATTAGGCTGTTGCCCCTGCAACCCGACTCCGGATAAGCGGAAGAAAATGGATGGATGGATGGATGGATGGATGGATGGATGGATGGATGGATGGATGGATGGATGGATGGATGGATGGATGGGCACTAATAAAAACAAAAGTGCTGTACAATAAAAACATACATAAAAAGGTCCAGGTTCAGAAATGTTGGGTCTCCGTTATAATTTTTGACATTTTAGCATCCAAATAAGGTGGAAAACACCTCAACATCAGCCAGGAAAATCTGGCTCCATATATCTGCATCAGCGATAGAAAACCCCACATCGGTCGATCTCTAATAGTAACCACACGCCTATGTCTCTCATTCCCTGAATGCAGTCTTGTTGAAAAAATATATTTATACGATGTATTTTTATTTTAAATGATGCATTTTGAGGATGAGGATGCAGAGCAGACCAAAATATCTGGTAGAGACATGGAAACCTTCGCATTTATGGTGTTTTTTTCCTGTATTTACATTCAAGCTACTTCCTTCACATCAGACTTTATAGCCTGTAAAACGGACGTTGACCCGCCAAGATGAACGACTGGTTGTTTTGGTGGAAGGAAAAAGGTGATTTCCATTGTGATGATGGTGCAAGAATGGAAACAGCTCACTTGGTGTAAAACCAGTTCCCTCCATCATCAGTTAACTGAGCTAAAATGTGTCTGCTGCTTCTGCTGGAGTCTAAAAAAAGTTCCGACATATGGCTGTTTATGTAACGGCTCTAAAAATAATCCTACGTGAAAGCTCATTAAAAAGAAAAACATTTCTAATGATGAATAAATTAGAAATGTTTGGGAAAACGGTCGTGAGTGCCTTACATTCAGCTGTCACCTCTTGCTTCTCTTTAAGCTACTTAAACTATAACTACAAAATATAGATGCTCGGATTTAGTTGGTTCGTTTACCAAAAATACAAATAAAGCTTTTGGCAAGCTTCTAAACTAAGTTCGAGCATTTTTGGACCAGCAGAGTGCATTTCTTCTTCCTCAAGTATAACCCCTGCAGGAACAACATTTATTGTCATAAAATTAGCAGCGTTTTCCAATAACTCCGCACAAGGAAAGATCATTACCCAACTCACTGACTTCTCCCTATAGATTCCTGTTTTGCCTCCTCTAATTATCCATTTGCATATTTGAAGTGAAAGATAAGCACTTTCTGTCCAAATCTCCAATGACAAACATTTCAATATATTATAATAAGCCCTCAATATGAGGGAAAAAGAGTTAAAAAAACTAAATTAATGATTTGGGGCAAAAATAACAATAAATAAACAAACTTAAGGTTTTTTCTGCAGCTATTTTACAAGATTTAATAAACACTTTTAATCTTACGACTGCACAGAAAAAAAAGTTTTGTCTTGCCAATTATTGTAAAGGTGTCAAAATGAAGCCCAGCTACAAATCATCTGTGTATTTATCAATTGATTGAAGCAGCTATCTAACAGCTAGAAACACTCGCAGGCATAATGCATCAATTTTAATGGTGTTTCTTAATCAGAACGCTCAGCAATCAGCAGAGACCAATTCGGCCTGAGAGGTAGAGACCCGCCATTAATAATCAAACTAGGCTGCCATCACATTGGCTCTATTCTTAAAATGTTGTTGGAGTTATTTTCAAGTGGAGTGCTCAGCGTTGCATGGTTCCCAGCTCGTAATGTGACCACGAAAACGAGGTGAAGAGGATCCGGACAGCAAATGACTACAGGTGGTTAAGTTCTGGTTTGTTATAACAGAAAAAACAAAAACATTGATCAGACTGGAACAAACGGCTTTGTTCTTTGAAAAATGTAGGATTCTGAGGCTTTAATTTGAAGAAACAGAGATTAGTACAGATGGGATTGACAAGCTAAAGGGCAGTTTTGACATTGTTTATTCTGGCAGAAATGATATTTTATTACCACTGGTATCAATTTTTGAATTCTTGTGCTGACTTTCAGAGCGCTGCATGGTCAGGCTCCACTGTACGTTCGAGACATGCTCTGTCCTCACAGCCCTTTTCGAAGGTTGAGATCGTTGGATCAAAATCTTATTATGGTTCCCCGTACTCGATTCAAGACAAGAGGAGATCGCTCATTCCAGGCCGTCGCACCAAGGCTCTGGAACGAGTTACCTCTGTTGTTACGTTCACGCGACTCAGTTGGTGCTTTTAAGAGCAATCTGAAAACCCATTTGTTTCTCCAGGCATTCTAAACATGTTCTGTATGCGGATTGGCTGTATACGACTTTTTATGTATATTGTGACTGTATTTTTATCGTAGCCTATTTATGTGTCGTTTTAACTTGTGAAGCTTTTTGTGACCTTTTTGTCTGTGAGAGGTGCTAAAAAATAAAGCTTACTTAGTTACTATAGGGCTAGAAGCCCCACAGGGACA